AACAGGCGACTATTTAGGCGCCCCTCCTCAGTCGTCGCGACCTGGGGAGGGGTTACTCGTTTCCTGCTGTCTTAGAATTATGCTTAGGCCAGGCGCATGGTGGCATGCACTTGGTTGAGTTGACACCAAACTTTCAGTGGTACCAACAACACTGCCCAGATTGTCTGGACGTTTGTGACCTGTTTTGTGACTTCGATCGTGGTCGTTTTGGTGACCTGCTCCTGTTCCTATGACCCATTTACATTCCGGTGACAGCCTCAGTGAGACTCTTAACACTCGCAATGAGTCCTTCTATTACGGGGTCTTTTGCTGATTCTACTTTTTGTGTGTGATTTATTGTGCCTGATCCAGTTGGAGGACCTCTTTCCATTAATAATAATAATAATAATAATAATAATAATAATAATAATAATAATAATAATAATGATAATAATAATTTATTCTCAAATAACAGTTTGTTACATGAGGCATGCCAGTTTACAGGCAAGATCAAATTGATACAAATGATACAATATACACTGTATTAAATTACATAGCTGGGTTGAAAATTTATAAGACGTGAATGTAGATTGTTTTAATCAGTACTACAGTTGGCGCGCTTCACGAGAGTTGCGTTGCGAATGTGCGACTGATGGTCAAGGATAGGTTTATTGAAGGTATGAGCTTCTAGAAATCGCAACCTTATGTCCCTTTAGGATATCCAAGGCTTTAAGGATGGTGCAGGATGAAGTAACCTGTTCCATATCTCAAGGGGGCTGAAAGAGGGAACAAGTAAAAGAAAACACGAGAGGCAGAGTAGCCAATATTCATGTAGGAATGTTTAAGGCATGATTACTCAGTCTAATTTCCTTTTATTAAGGCATCTGTTAAGAAAGAGCACTTTAATAGGTTAAAGAAAATAAGCTTAAGCAAGGTGTGAGTGGACATACAACTGACAAATGGAGGCGATTCGGAGAAGAGCTGAGAGTATAAGATTATGTGTGATTATAAAATAAAATATAGTGCTAGAAACAGTATTGTGATATACAACTGGCTATCTTCCTTTTATTATCGAAGCTATTAGAGCCCATTTCGTTTTTTTTTTGTTTTTTTTTCAGGTATTCTATCGGCTACACGCGGTAAATGAGACAAGGAGGTTTCAGGATCTTGTGCATTCGAAAAGTGTTGGACGTAGCATGGGAGAGCTTGTATCCATCCTTGTTTTAGGACTGCTTCACCCACTGTGTTATCACCCACTAAGACTTGGAGGTGACGTAAAAACTGTGACGGCGACCGATCACCTAGTGTTTCTACTTGGAAAAGTCTTTGGATTCTCTGACTGTCTGATGGTGATAAACGGTTCATTATCTCTCGTTTTAAGATGGTGTATGGTTGTGGTGACGGTGGACTTAAAATCAAGTCGCGGACTTCTTTGGCGACTGAAGGAGGAAAGGTAGAACACAAGTCTCTATAGCGAGTCCCTTCAGATTTGATATTGTGTCTCATGAAATAATACTCCAGTTGAGCGAACCACAACTCAGGATCACTACGATCAAATTCTGGAAGTCGGGATTTCGTAGTCATAACAGTGTCTATCTCCACTGGTGACAAATCCTCCAGATTATGGGTTTCTATTGAGTCTGACATGAGGTTTGTGACAAATATGGCAATAAAGTTAGCACAAAAAGTGGTTACTATAACACGAATAACTTAAGATAATACGGAATAAACTAGTTATATACTCAAATTAGTTTACGGATAATCAGGTTTACTTTTACGATTAAGTAAAAAAAATGTTAATAACAGAAATGAGGTTAAATTTTTGTTCAAAAAGGGCTCACCAATTTCGTGCCTCAAAGTAACCCTCGTGCTATTGATAGAAGAAACCAGACAAGTAGTGAATAGGTCTTTATTTCGATCTTAGCTCGGTCACAGTGGAGCGTGGGATTATCTGTTCAGACAAACAAAGGCTCTCAACATTCAATATAAGATAATAGGGAATATAACGCTTATACAAAACAAGGAAGTGAATGGATACTTGAACAATACTGTTTTGGCATATGCTTGGTTGTTTGGGGTCAACTCTTAACCAACCAACCTAAGCTGTTACAAGCTCACATGAAGGAAAGGAAGTCAAGGCCGGTACAAGGAAAGCAGTTTATTAGAAGGGTGTGTATATAGAGGATGAAGTGTTAAGAATACTATTGACTATATATTTTGTTGTCTAACTTTTTTCTTTTTTTGTTTATCGATGCCAGCCACACAATCCTAGTGTAAAAGTCCGAGTTAGCAAGTTATAGGTTGTCTTAGTAGAATAGCTAATCCAGCATAATATTGGAAACGTGAGTCTGGGTGGTAAGCGTAGGAAGACAATCCATATCACAGAATGATTGACTTATTCTCAATCATGAAGAGCCTGATACATTCAAAATGTTCTGCCCCCCACAAACACGGGTGGATTGAAGTTATCGCCCTCACCATCAATGCTTGCTGGTCAGTAACTTCTGACATGTGAAACATACTTGACGTACACATATCCTCAAAGTCATGGTTTACAGCATGCGCTATACGAGTATAATTTATAACAACTATAAACTTAATAAGTTGGGAAGCACGCTGTGCGCCAACAAATGTTGTAATTTATAGATGCCTGTAAAAACGGCGTGTACTTGCAGATGCAGATATATATATATAATTATTATTATTCGAATGTCTATATAGAAGGCAGAAGGGGAAGCAGATGGCGTTAAAGAAGAAATGTATAAAGAAAGAAAAAAGGAAATTATGAGAAATTAAGACCATGGTGGAAGGGGTGGTGGTAAAAATTTATTTTCAACAAACAAGTATAGTTCTCCCAGATGTATAGTCATTGCTTTGGCAATGTGACTAAGATGCAGTATAACTGCTTATGTCAGTCATCCACTTTATAGATGACTTTGGATGAAGAAACCGCTTTGGTTGAGTGACCTGTGTTCATGAGGTTATGAGATTTTCGAGCTTCTTACTGATCCGTTTTCGTATCTTTTAAGCCACGCCGTGAAGTGTCCTTGAATTCTCCTGGATAAAGTATGAATCGCTAGATCTATACACTGGCTTCACATGAGCCGGCGTAGCACAGCGGTCATATATGGTGAACTGAGCTATAATGTTTCAATTATTTGAATTGTATTATGAACTAGGAATCCCAGAATTAACGAAATTGAACTAAGAAGTGAGACACAAGCACAAACAAATGTATTGTATTTGGGATTCGAAATCGAGCATTCAACAAGTACAAAGGTATCATTGGTTCATTGAAACACCACATGAACCCACGGTAAAATAGATCGCAATTTAGGCGTGATAACCTAGTTTTGTTAAGAAAAATTGATCTACAGATGCGGCTGTTTACTTACTTGTCACCGATCCCAGGCAAATCTTTCTGTTAGGACTGACATCAAGTTTCATGAATCCTAAACTACTGATGGATAAGATTTTATGTTCATTAAACTAAGCTCACTGATGTAAATGACGGTTAGAGCCCTATGAAATCTTGTCATTCACTATGTAAAACTGTTTGATAAATATTCGGACTGCAAAATATGATCATATAAATGACCTTCAGTCTTCAGTAATAAGGATAGGAGGTCCATCGATCTATAGCAATCCTTGAAGTTTGTAACACGGTAGAGGTCAAATCTCATTTTGAATATACCAACAAAAGGTGCTGATATTGAGTGTTCTGGTAGCGAATTCTGATAATTCATTACTTGGTGCAATAAATGAAACTTCAGATGTAGACGATTTGATCTCGGTTTTCGAGATTTCATCGAATATCTACTCAAATGGTCAGTCCTAGACGGAAGGAAAAGATAAGACATATTCAAACATATTATTAAAGGTCATCGTTCAGTACACAATAGACCGGTATTAGATCACCCTGTATTTAACGGTAAGATAACGGAAACAAGAATAAGTAACAGGACAGACAACAGTGTTGAACCTCGAATACATGAACCCTGGTAATCACAACTTTCTCCGCCTTTGCGGTATCATTTCTCCGTATTTCTACAAAGGGTCTTTAAGATGTTAAGTGAAAACATGGTCGGTTTCAAATACAGGTTCTGGTTCCTTGCTGTTTTTTTCAAATTTTCTCATGATAATCTATTTTCCGTAAACAACAGTAATTGTCACCTTCAGAAAGCACTTTATCTGCGGACTTTGTAATAATGAGCATATGTATTGATCTAAGCTGAAATATTCAGTAGTTAGATTATTCGGTCTGGTCTCTTTACTAAGGTTCATATTTAACTGTCGAATGTACAATACCGCACTGTGCTGTACTACAAATAGTCAGCTAATCGCGGATAGCACAAAAGTGAGATAATAATTTTTTTCGTTTCGAGCCTTTGAAAAAAAGTTTTAGATGTCAAAAAACCGGATGTTAGCGGCTTCCAGATGCCTTAAGTGACCATTTTAAGGAAAAATATATTTGGACCCAAAGTATAATGCAAATATATGATTTCGAACAAAAGTGTTTACAGGATAATCCTTTTACGTGGGCTAGAAACGGCTATTAAATCTAAAAAAGCATAAATATTGTATACCATAATGATAATTCTGCACACAATATTTTTCTTGCTTTCCAAATTAAAGAGTTTGTGAGGACACTTAAGAATTTTAGAAACCTGAAAAATCATTTGCCGGCAGACAAACGTCTGTCCCATCGAATCATCAACGAATGTTACTCTTTGTCGTAACACGTAGTTAAAGATCCATTTGTTGACCCGTTCAAGAAACAGGTAAATTAACTGACTGACCAACCCCAGAGGACTTACACGAGCCAACAAACATATTGTTTTGACCAAACTGAAACTGTCTGGGAAGCTACTTATTTTCAATACTGTAATAATTATAAACTGATAATGTTAGTAGAAACCGACAGAGGTTCAGAGAAGCAACTGCTAAGAGCAAAGACAGTGAATAAAAGGTCAGATTATTTTGCATTTGTTTTAGTACATCAGTTGCTAATATTTCCTTCATAGGACTGGAGTGCCGGCTATTTTATTGTTTTCAGCTGTTAGTGGGTTTCCGTAGCTTGGACTGCTGGTTCTTACATAAGTGCTATGTAGATTTATTATTGCTGATTTTCAGAAACATGCAAACCTTATTTTAGCGTCTTAATAGTAATCAGAGGGTTCTTACATAAAAACTCAACTACACGCAGCTTATCTCAATCTCCCTATTTTGAGAAAGTGGCACAAAAACCCCGAATTTCCTCGAATCAAGGGGTAAAGACATGTTGAGTACCCTAACTAAGTCGATAAGTAAGAGCTAGAAAGTTATAGAGTGTGGATTTTGCCTATAGACAAAACTAAGGAGTACTATATATAGCACTTTAGTTTTTAATTTCCCTCTAAATTATGTGTAGAAAGTAGTCCTTTACTCAAAAACGATCGATGAGTCAGTACAACCTTAAGTCAGCTAATTGTAAGTTGACGCTCATGGTTTGCTATTCATTGACGTACTGTTTGTGTGGTGTAGTAATGCGTAATTAGATGAATGGTCCTAAATCTTCAATCCTGGAGAAATGTTCATTAAGTTTGGAGATTATTCATAGCTTCTACTTGTTTGTGGTTATTATCTCTATATCTTTTCTAATTCGGCGGTAAACCACTAAAAGAAACCTATTTATTGCTGTACAATTAACGCAAGCACTCTTCGGGCCAAATATTTATCATGAAAAAGTAGTAATCCTTTCGGAAATAGAACATGAGGTACTTCCGATTTTACAACCTTGTTAATTATGTGTTAGATATATGGTGAGAAAATTCACTTTCTGGTATAATGGTGAAAAGAAAGGTCTGTATGATAGTTTCTATTACTCTTTCAAAGTGTCTAAATAGCTACTTAGTTCCTTAGTCTGATTTTTGTCCTCTGTTCTGTTTTACTAGAAAATTTGTATTCTATCTATCAATGTACGTAGTTCTCCTTAAATCGGCTGGTGATAATGCTACTAGCATCGGTGATGACCCTTATGTACAGGTAGGTTAATTTTGTGATTACTTTGTCCACCATTTTGAAAAATTAGATATTAAAAAACTCAGGTTTCAGCGTAGACTTACTGGAAACTCTTGATTTCGAGTATAACATATCAAATCTAGCGGAATACAAAAATTGGAGGAACAATCACAGTTGCATTATTTTTAGTAGCCCACGTTCCGTTATCGCATGTGTTAAAGCTGGACTAACAGGTCAGTGTACTTTTTTATGACACCTTTTGGTAAATGATAGGTAATGAAAATGACCTTTGTTTCGTTGTTGGTCCTAGCACTGAGTTACAAGGTAATGAATCCCATAGTTATATATATTAATAAAATCGTTTTATAGCTAAAAAAGCTGGATTTTCGCCTAAGGGAGCTGATTCTGGTGATGCGGAGAAGCTCGCAAGTTTTATTTTGAAGCACTTTTCCTCAAGTAATCTGTAGATAACCTAGTTTCTTCCACCCATTACACACAAATCATTTTACAGAATTGGATAAACCTATATTTTTCCCATCTGGGCAAGTACACCGCGACACACTACCGAAAGTTTTGGAAAATGAAGGTTTCTGCATAATAACTTAATATTCTTGAAATACAGGAAAAAAAGTAAATACCGTTGTGGCCTATTCTTCTGTAGAAAATACTCAACTTCATGAAAAACTGCGATTGAATTTATGTGTAAGTTCTGTGTTTTCAGGCATTGCAACAATAACTTTAAAAAAAATTTATTCCACTCAAAGTAACATCTGGTTTTCTGGCTAGGTTTAGCAGTATTTTCTGGATTTAATTGTACGTATTTTTGCTTGCTTCACAACATAGCATCTTTGGATTATTCACATTGTTCATTCTACAGCTAACCAAATAATTCCTTTCGGAAAGTGCAACCAAAGCCACGTTCTATTCACTGCAAATGCGCCTTGTGTACCTTAGTACACCAATTGTAAGTCAGTAGTTTATACAACAGCTGAGTTTAGTTACAGGCTCTTATCAGCAAATTATAAACGAAAACAGACTGGCTGGAATCAGTCAGTGAAGTCATTGACTTTTGGACTGAATCCTAATGGTAAGTAATAACTACCTGTTGACCGAAAGGTTTTTCGGCAACGTTTGTCATTGAAAAGCGTACCATAGAAATACATAAAGCTTGACCATGGATAAGGTAACAGAAGAACTAAGTTGCAAAATCTTCATACAAAATCTAATATTTCCAAAGTTCATGGTTTGAAATGAGAATAGGACAGTCAGGTACAATTTACTTGCAGAATGTTAGCTCAGGTATCTTTTAGAAACAAGAATGTTTAAGTTATGTGGTATGTTTAAATTGGAAATTAATTTTGAACATACTCTTTGAAGATTTGTACTACTAAATAATCTTAGTTGAAGGTCGTCAGTACCAATTAGCAACATTAATAATCGAAAAAAATTTATCAGTAAGGCATATAGATGGATTTGCAAATATTTGGTACCAGTTGTTTGTAATTGATTGTTCTTTTGTATGATATTGAAGCCTATAATTATAAAAATAATTTGTTAGTCTTTGTATCTTTTTCTAGGAAGGAAATCCTATTCCTGAATGTTTAGTATTTTTCAGTCCCTCTGGCGTTTCATTGACTGAAAATATATTATTAACCGAAATTAAACCACATCGACCGAATATTAAAGTAAGTATGTTTTTTCTATATCCTCAACTTATTTCACTTGAGAAGGTATCCATACCGTTTCTATATAAAGTTTCTGAACTTACGTTTTCATCTAACCAGTTAAATTTTAGCCCTGGTTTATCCATGAGGATTATTGGAAATAACTACATCATGACAAACAAATAGTATATGGAAGCTAGTTCTCGTTGTAAACTGACATCAAATACCATACACCATAACACGCCAACTTTATGGAGACATACTAGCAGTTTTTTCTCTTTTACTAATTCAAAACTTGAAGTTTATCTTATCTGGTCTTTATACATATTTAGTTTGTGTTTAGCGTCATCACTTTCTAACATGTTCATTACTACATTGTGATGAAGCTGAAAATAATTTTCGTAGATTCGTAGATCTATTCTCTCATCATATCAGATACATAAACTATTTATTTTGGTTTACTTAGTACTAATATGCTAAATTTGAGACAGATTTTTATTTTATCTTATTGATCATGGAAAATGAGCTAAATAGGGTTACCGATAAGGTTTCAGGTTTTCTTTCATATCGAACAAAACGTCTGAAGATTAGTTAGCCTGTAACACAATAACATCTTGAAGATTTTTGCAGTGTGTTTAGAGGTTAAAGTAGCTAGTTACGAAAAAAGATAAACTGGAGCAAGCAAAATTACTTTTGTTCTCATAGAAATCTATTCTGATAGCAGTGAATCTTGAAGACTTAAGGGAAGTATTCAAAATTCATAACAGTTTAAGTAATAAATCAATCAAATTATTAAGAAATGCACAACTGTTTTATGGAACTTCCATATTTCGCGATAGATGATTGTTGATTGGCTATTGCGCGAATGTTTGGTGCTGTTTTATAAGGAGGAATATTTTTCGAGCTCATGAAAATAATACAATGATGAACTGTCAGAAAACACGCAAACTAGAAAACTCCTGTGTTTCATTTTGTCGTTAGGTGTAGTTTCTGCTTGGTATTCAAGTGATCTAGAGTGTCATCAAACTCAGCTATTATAACGATACGATCACATAAGTTAGTGGAAATCTTGTTCGAATCAGTGATCTCAAGATTACTAAGCGAGCCAGGATTTGTGATCGCCTTTTACTCTCCGGTCTTATATCATAATAATGATAAGAAAGCGACTGCAGTCCAGCTTCTTTTTGCCTTCACTACCATTTCAGCTTTGGTTCACTAATTCAGGTATGCGAATAATACTATAAATAGTTTTAAGTAGACATAACATATCATAAGATATAGGTATATGTGGTCGACCGAACTACACTTGATGTATACAGCTCAGGCTTAATGTCCAGCTGATAAAAAACGTAGTTGTGAAAGAATCAAATGTGACGATCGTTAAAAGTATAATAATTATAGCCCTAAGCTACGTTCCATAGGCCTCGTTCATAAACTTTCCTGTGCTCGCTTAGACTTAAACTGTCAAGTAGTCCTATTAAACGTCACACTAAAAGAGTATACTATAACATTATACAAAATTACATCAGTTAGGACTTGGTCATTATCTGATATTAGTGCATATTGATCTAGGTTGTCCTAGAAATTGTATATGACCTCCAATAAATTGTATGATTCTATGTAAAAGTTTTAAATTTCATCGGGTTTTATTAATAATCACTTATTTTGCCCTGACTTTCTCTGTCAATCAGTTGGTTGCTATGGGACGCGCAACAGCAACACAATTAAAAGAATTAGGTTTGACTGTTTCAGCGGTTGCCTCATCACCTAAACCGGAAAGTCTACTAACAGCACTAAAGCAGTTAAAATGATGTTTATAGTCATCAGTAAAGAAACTTTTTATCTTTTCAAATCCTAACTCTTTGTTGCTTTTAATATGCTTTGACTTGTTTGTATTTATTTATTCCCAATCATTTCCAATACCAAGGCAATTTTATTGCCTTTTGGGGATAGTACAGGTAGTAGACACTATTTATTCAAGCTGCATTGATTGTTTTTTTTTCTGCGAAGAATATATTTATATGCTTTTTTTATTTTACAAAAATTGTGCCTTGTTTACTTATTTATATCTTTATTTGTAATTTGTGAATTACACAATCTATTTATTTGTGTAAACTAATAATGAGCTCAATTCTATGGATTGTTGACATTATTTTTTATGCAATGCATTTGAAATTAGTATTTTAAATAAATTTAATGTTCTACAGAATATGTTCTTCTTCAGGGAATGATATTATCTCCAACTTAGTGTAAAAAGATGTAAAATTCAAATGACGTTAGAATTTGAGTATTTGCTGAATTTATCACGTGAAAAGATTCTACCATCAAGTATCTAGTAGTCTTTGAGTAATCAAAAATGGTGGTTTAAATTCGAGTGTATTTGTTTAACTAAACTTGTTTAGGGTATTTTAAACAAAACAGAATGAAATCATTCAATATATAATGTGGATTTGGTTTCCAATGTTAAAATTCCATTGAAGTAGTTAGATCATATCATTCAATAGGATGGGGAAAACTTCCAAATAAACATAAACTTCCGTAGCGATCATAATTAAATGTTAGTTTCATTTAACAACTAATTATTGCTTAATTGAACAGTTGCAGTGTTATCAGTTCCAGTGATGAAAGTCAGATTAAAACTGTTGTTTTCTAATTTTCGAATAATTAAAAGGATGGGAACTCTTAATCACACTTAATTGGAAGAATCATGATCAATAAAATATTACTGTTTCATTATATACAACTCCAGTCATTCTCAAGTTACAGTTCCAGAAAATTTCATTGTTTATTGTGGATATTCGCTCGCAGACTAATTACTAGTTGTAGACGTATATTTTTTAAGGAGTGGATATTTTAATTAATGAATTTAGATAGTTACATTCTGTCTAAAATTACAAAATGATAATGATGACTAATGGTAAGATCGTGTAAGCTTACTAAAAACTGGAAAAGACTCATTTGAATTACCGAAAATATTCTGATCACAATGACCGTCACTAAGTATGTTATATACTGCTTCAGTGATGTGTCAGTTGATGTTCTTTTCTATTAGTTATTACAAACTCTAGACTGCTTACTAATATTCGTTGTAGACTGATTAATTCTTCGAAATCAAACAGAAAATTCATTTTTAGACGATTAATTGAAGCGGATACGATAGATATTCGCCCATTTCATTTCATATTGATTATAATTCATCCTGAACTGACTGAATATCGAAAATATCATTATGGTATAAAAAAAAGTATCTTTCTTGTTACAAGATCTTTATGTCTGTAGATTATCCGACCATATAAAAGTTTGTAAATATGTGCTCCTTTGAGTGCTGACAAATCTGTATTGTTTCGTAGTACCAATATTTTCAGTAATCAGAATTAATGCTAAGAAAATTAATTTCGTCAGCAGCATTTATTTGTAGACTTTTGTTGTTGTGTTAGACAGATTATTCACAATTCAATAGAAAAGGACTTCATCTACATTGGTCAAGCTTCAAAAGATTTTCAATCACATTATTCTAATGTTTGTTGCCAAAGGAACGTATAAAAGAAGTATAAAACTCTAATTCTAGGAATTAAGTTAGTTAATGAAAAATTCTTGAATTAATAAACCATCAATTGATCAATGAATACTAATCAGTATTATAGTCTTTAATACTGATCAAAATCTACCGACCAAGGTCCAATGTGAACACTAGTTCAAACGATTTGATGTCGAACAATGATTATGATTGGGACACTGTGTGACTCGGGTGAAAATTCCATAGGGAGTATTAGGTCTTTTGAGATTTGCTAATGATTATCAACTACCATGAAACTAATTGGACATCTCATCCGTCACTTGCTATTTAACACCAATGAATCGAAGCTTCTTTAGAAGGAAATTATTTAAGTTAACGAAGATTACTGCTTCTGCTTGTAAGGGCTTATTATTTGTGACAGCTGATCATTCAGTCAATCTCTAGTTACTATTTACGCAAGAGTAATGGAAAATGACATTCGAAATGATGCATTTTCAAACTTTTTTACTACATAGAGGTGTTCAATGGACTTGGAAATAATGTTACATGCTTGAAACGCATTCCTTCATAATTACATGTACGGACATATTCGCATACATTGAAATTCACTTTTACCTGTAATTATATATCAACATTTAGGTTGTATATGAACACAAACATATTGTAAGTATTCATTTTTTCAACGGAAGCGTTATTAACTTTACTGACAGTTTTAGCTTAAAAGGTCAACAAACAGAATACAAAAATATTTTCGATCAGTGACCATGAACAGTGTTTATATTGACCAATTTTTACAACTGAACAAATCTATCGAAGTTTGTAACATGGTGATTAAGATAATGTGGATAGAATGCATATCTCCTTATTCGATTTCACGAATATATTCATTGATTTCCTATCTATCCCTTTTTTCCCCCCCAAAATATCATTTTGATTGGTTTATTATTTCATCAATACATTATCCCAACATTTGACATGTTTTACATCAAAATTTCTTTCGCTTTTCAATAAATGCAATTAAAATTATACTAGTCAATCAATATAGTGCTAAACAATTCGCTACAGTTAGTTATTAGTTATTGGTAACTTTGTCAACAAGACTATATGGATAAAATCTCAGTTAGAGTCGGTTTTCATTGACATAGTCAATAGTTTACGATAGGGTAGTTGCAAGCATGTGATTGAGTTATTTTAGTTTTTATCCATGGAATGGTTTTAAATTATTGTCCATAACGTTCAAACAGACTTGATGTCATCCAATAAAGTTTCACCAACTAAATAAAGAATATTGAGTTATATAAAACAACGGGATTAAGAACAACGATAAATAATACATGATTGATGTATATGCAGCTCAGTGGTTAGGGTGTCCAACTTTCGGTCACAAAGCACCGGATCGGATATTTTCCCATCAACTTCACTTTAGATAAACAGGTAGTTTCAATAGGTTTCACATTTATAGTGTAGCCGGAAGCCAAGTACACGAGTCCATTCCTAGCGAATCAGTTATATGCGAATAATAAAAAAAATAATTGTTTCTTAATGAGTATTTCTTGAGTTCCATGAAAGCATTATTGATGGTAACGTCAGTGTTCTTATTTATCTTATTCTACAATTTTAATTTCATAGTTTATATCCTAACACCAAGAATGCAAAGAACAGGGCTGAAACGTATCTCACATTAACATATAAAATAAGTAATGCCTACTTAGCCGACGTTTAACAAACAAAAACCACGCTCATTAGAAACGAAAAGGCATAGACCTTGTAAATTGGCGTTCACTGACATTAAAAAAATGGACATACACTTGGAGAAAATGCTGTCTCAAATAACTAATTTAAATTATCATTCATATCCAGATTTAACTTAACAAACTCCAATTGTTAACGTAAAACACACTTGATCATAATCTTGCTGACTCAAAATGCCCAACCAACTACTATAAAGAAACAGATAAGTTAACTAATACCACTCAAATTCAAATAAATCGAAAAACATTGTTCTCCGTGATTAGACTAACGGTAAGCAGGTATTTGATTAAATTACTCAGATTGTAATGTGTGTATCGAAATTGTGTTAGATATGCACTGAATCTACAGTAATGAGCAAACATTTAAAAGAACGTAGTCAGAGCGGCATCGCAATCATATTGGTACAAAAGAGAAATGGTAAAAAAAGTGTTCATATTCAGTGTAAAAATTCAGTAAAAGGTATTTCAAGTTGCAGTCTTCAGTAGTTATTATAATCGCGGGTTATGATGCACATATTTACCCTTTACTCACTTTGCACTGACGTGTTAAATGAATTTGGACAGTAATTATACAAACTATACGAAGGTACAATCTCACTGTTGGGTTCAATAGTGTAGAATACTTAAGATTTTGATGTTTGAGAAATGAAGATTTTAAGTACCATATCTCACGAATAACTTGATTAGTGTAGATCGATTTATGTTCAAAAATTATCTCATTGATCTTCATCAAGTAGTTTTTACAAATGATGTCATTATTTTAATATTAAGAACATACATACTACTGATAATTTAAGTAACGTCCAGTATATTTCCCTTATGTATCTAATTTATATTTAGTATATTAACACACTAATTTTCTTTCGTAATAACTTTTTCATTATTTTGGAGATTGATATATTTTTAGTCCACCAAAGTGAAATACAAGAAACATGGTAGCAAATGTATTTCCTTAACACATAAATGGATCATGTCCACTACAAGTAGTGAGGAATGATGTAATAATTTTAAAATACTATAGAATAACATCACTGAAGCTCTCGTCGTTTCGTAACAAAATCAATTATCTTGACAGCACAATTTGTAGTGACTTATTTTTTTTATTATTTATTTCAATCTGAATGTGTATTATATTATTTATGACATATCATTGGTGTCCGCGTGACTATCGTAACCAAGGGTTGGAGAATCTTGGTGATATGCCTCAGGATCGATCACAATGGCGTCGGTGTATACACTCTCTGTCTTCCGTTAAACTAAGAGATTAAAATCGCTTCATATCTTTCTTTCTACGAACTAATTTTTTCTTCCTGTACTATATCCTTATATGCAATCTTTCTTTTATATATTACCACCACTGAATTAACGACTTTTATGAACCCGGTGTTCATCTTATTGCGTTAATGAGGTACGGCAACTTGAACCGATGCATATATGTGCCTAGTCCTACGTTGTAGCTGGCTGACTGATGACATATCATGAAAAAATAACCAAAATAAGTTATTTATGCCATCTATTGATATCTATTTATTTATGTATATATGACTGAGAACAGTTATGTGAGAACCTGTTGGATTACAATGTACTAGTTTGATTCCAAAGTTATTGTGATCTTAATTAAATTCAGTGCATACATTTCAATTCATTATAGGCTTAATGATATTATGATTTACTGTCTGGAATAAGACTATAGAGACAAACCAACTAAACTTAAGATAATACTACCGAAATTTGTGCTCAAAATTTATTCATTCGTTTGGCTATACAGTGTTCGTGAATTACAACAGATGAAAACTTTAATCCTAGTTACTTATGTTGACTCTGATATGATGGAAAGAAAAGTCAATTTTCGATTGACTTACTCATTATGAATTTTGTTCAAGATTACTTCCGTTTTGATTCAATGTAATGATTACTTAATGTAGTATTTCTTTTCTC